TCATCCACCGGAGTTGAACGGCCACATCCGACTGATGTGCGCCCACCAGTGGTTAGATGCTTGGTCACTCCTTCGTGGACGGAAAGAAAAGCCTTTTTGTGGTCCATTTTCTATTCCACCCAACTGACACAGGAGAGGTTTGCCATTACACTCTGACGAACACATGGAAGATCGTGGATGGCATGGTTCCGAGTTCGGAGGACGACTTTGCTGATGAGAAACAGGTGGCGAACTCCTCCACTTCCGTGTTAGACTGTTAGTGAGTCCCAGTGCATGTTCAATTGAATAAAGGTTCCGGTCCAGAGCTCTGAGAACTTCCACCTCCCGGTCGAATGCTTCGGAGTTGGATCGGAGGTCTCCTCGTCCCCACGCTGGGTGGACAGCTGAAGCAGCGTACATGCTTCCATTTCTCGCCTGAGAGACTGCACCCTAGTAACTTAGTATAGTATTGGCCTCCACCTAAGAGCTGATGGCCTCCACCCTAGTATAGTAGTAATGGCCTCCACCCTAGTAGCGATGGCCTCCACCCTATGCATGAAAAAGAATAAAAGACGGCGTTCTCGGTGTACGCCATCCATCCGTCAGGCGATGGCTCCATTGGACGGGAGGTGAGAGATGAAGTGACTGAGGGCGATGTCACGGTCACGGTTCGAGGTGTCATAGGGCACCATTTTTTGAACGATCCCAATGACTTCATTGTACTGGACTTGGTCAAGTTCACTACTCAAGGAGCTTGTCAGGAGGTTTTAGTGGGTCAGACTGGACTGAGACCGATGTCTTTGCCTTTTTTGGGGATGCCACGATGTGGAACGGCGGCTGAACCAGGGAGGGAGAGGGAGAGGGAGGGAGACCTTGCACTTGTTTGCGCGTTGCATGCAAGCAACCGACTACAGAATCAATCACACAAAAGACTCCATATATGGATACCTCCCAGGTTCGTTCTCCAGCCAGGTCTTATGGACATTAACTATGGTCAAAAGATGCGAAGACCACTTTAGTAAAGAGGGGCAGGTTTGTCCACAAAACCCTGCAAAACGATAAGGTCCACCTCAAATAGACCATATTATAGACCCCCCAGTCATAGATAGAAGTTCGTAGATCCCCACTATACTGTATTGAAAACTGTGCCACTATCTATGACTGGAGGTCTCTTTGCCTCGACATCGCTGAGTTGTGTCAAAGCAAGGGCCCCAATGACCGGTTTCCCACGTTCTGTCCAAGTCTCCCACCCTGTTGGTCGAAGCCATGCTCTCCAGTCTTCTCGAAATTACTGCATCGGTCGAGGCGGTTTGCCACGAGACAAGACCAACTGCAACTCCAGATCGAGACCACGTTGCGGTCGGTGGTTGCGCCCCCTGCGACCCATCCGAAGCGCCCGGGCAGGGCCCGGCGGGTCCACGGCGGGTCCACGGCGGGTCCACGGCAACGGTGGCGGCGGATCCGAACTGCGATCAGTGCGGGAGGTGAGGGTGACTATGCCGTGACGGCTGCACCTTCGGTGAGAGGCAGCTGAGAGGGTGCATGCCGGTCTCAGTGACCCACCTCAGGTGCATCAGCTGCATGACTATGAGAGCACATAAGTCGTTGCGGCGGTTCCCCTCTGACAGGAACCAACATTGAAGTGATGAAGTTTCAGAGTCACTTTCCAAGGCACGTCATTGATGCTGATGTATTTTGCTGGTCGATGTGACAACCTCTCACAGTCTAATATGATGGATGATCAAAAGGAGCGCGATGTATTCCAGCAGTGGGACATTGACATGGGTACACTCACCGAACCTCTATGGTGACTCTCAAAGTTCTCATGTCACCATGCCCTTTGCAAGGACAGATCATTTTCACCAGCCCTCCGACTCCTTTTCACGCTCGCAGTTGGAGCGGCTTAGAGGCGTTTCTTCGTGTTCAATGTCTCCGCTGTTTTACCATGCGCAGATTTGTGTTTGTGCAGACCAGGCCAGAGAACTTGTGCAGGAGAATTGCAGAAAGCCAAACATTGGCGGCTGCATTTTGGCGCATCTCAGTTGGCAGTTTCCCACGGTCCCACAGACAGTAGCGGAAACTGAACACAATCCTCATGCGCATGGTATGCCATTTGGAAATTGGTAGAACCAGGCTGCCATGGTTTTGAGCCTTCGGGGGTTCCGAGCTAGATAGGAGTCCGTCAACCAGTGGTGCTGGGGAGGCCGGCTGTCCACGACGTCTTTGCAGGGAAGCCCGGGATGGAACGCATCGTTCATGGACTTGACCAGAAGACTGTCAACCAGGAGTGCATCGCTACTAACAAGGGCATCGCTACGCTACTAGTAGCAAGGAGCTACTAGTAGCTTCTTGTTACTAGTGGTAAAGTAATGCTAGAAACTACTAGTAGCTTCTTGTTACTAGCAATGCCAGGAGCTACTAATTAGTAGCGTCCTTGCTCCTAGTAGCGATGCCCTTTCTTACTACTAGCTTCTTGCTACAAATAGGAATGCCAGGAGCTATAGTAAGAATCCTTGGGCCCTGGATGGCAGGGGTTTGGACCCTCAAAGACCCAATGTGTTGCTTCGGGCCCAGCTTCAATTCTTAGAGAACTTGGATCAGAAGAGCAGCGCCGGTGGCCGCCATTGCAGATATGATCGGTTTCTGCTCAAGTTGAGCTGGGCCAGTTTCCCCAAACCATCCCAAACCACATGGGTCCTGCGGGGCGACTCCCGCGTGAAGCCCAACCAGAAAACAACATCAAACGAACACATCACAGTGGAAAAACTGTCGGTTCGTAAAGGAAAGGGACCATTTTCCATCCACTTCCATGTTCCAAAACAAGTAACAGTTCGAGGGCTCCAGACGATTCCCGGCTGCCATGTGGAGCTCCCTACACCTATATGAGAGATCAAAAAAAGCTCCAAAGCTTTTGGCCATGTGTTGCTGTGGTGGGAATCCTGCAAAACCAAATGATGAAGACTTGGCGTTTCCATACCAGTTTTGCCATTATCTAGGACTCATAGGATATCATGTATGCCTTAGATAGCTCATTTATGAGGGATGACACCCCACTCTTGTTACGGGCAAGTAAGTCTGGGCTGGAGAAAAGAGAATCAACAACCCGGACCTTTGGAGGACCCACGCTGTGTAAGAAACCGCTCAGGAGCGCTTGCGAGAACGCTTCCCCCACGTGGGTCTGGGTCGCCCAACATCATCGGACCGTGGGTTCGGGGGTCGATGCACCTTGAAGATGTGGGGTTGATGTCCTCGCAGGCATGGGGATCCTATCCCAGACAAGACCATCCATATGACTGGTTCTTGTCTTCGTAAATGCCGATCAATTGACCCCTTCAACCACCCCAATGTAGGCAGAGATGGGGCCATGCATGGAGGGTCTGGGTAGTTCAGAATTGCTTGTGTGCTGGCACCAACACCAGGCGCAACGAAGCGCCGCCAGCATGAGAAGATCCGTGGACCCTACCTTGTGGGAACGGTTTGAAGCAGCTGTCAGACCGGTGCACGTTCGCTTGAGCTCCCCAAATGCGGCATCTGCCATGCTGCACGGGTCCGACTGGTGCGCGGGATGACCCCGCGCAAGCCACATGCCATGCCCTGTGCATGGCATGTCCCAAAGCCTAGTAACAAGAAGCTACTAGGGCTCCTGGCATCTCTAACTAGTAACAGCAAGGTCGGTTTGTTGCTTGGATCCCTGAGACCGCAGGAGTCCCCTCTCGAAAGCAGGGTCTGTGCAGGGTTTCTGCCAAGCATGTTGAAAGGAATTGCCCAACTGCAGGACACGTGCCCTGGGTCCAAGAGGGTCCAGTCACGATGCTTAGCTGTTCTTGACCTTCTCCTTATCCTTCAGGGCTTCTTTGTGGGGTGCTGACCCACCACGTGATATCATATAACATATATGATTATATATAGTTATATGAAAGCATACAGTATGACCTTCTATACCTGCCTTTTCACCCCCACAGCCCCCACAGTTCTTTTTTGTGACCTTCTTTTTGTGATGCCCGAGATCAACCCCAGTGGCTCGGACTCGATTGATTCGGAAACGGGCGTGGTTTTCAGGTTCCATGTGGGTCTCGGAACCAGGGCGTGCCCGCTGTCATGGCTCCCAGAATCCCGCCCCATGTCTATAGGCGCCAACAAGATCGCCGCCATCTTGCGGGAGACGAATGGGCATGCAGGACCTGATCAGAACGAGAAATGACTTGGGAACTAAGGTGTTGGGGAGCTTTCCTAGAGATTTTGGGTCTCCAAGATCGAGTGATCGATGTCGCCGATAGGTTTCATGTCCTGGACCGATGCTCGGCATGCTCCGCCAGGACAGGCTGCTGCGGCCATCCGGGACAGATCAGCGCGTGGTCGCTACGCCTTTCAAAGTGTCGGAGGGTTTGCAAAGTTGGGAGCTTGAGGGTGCTAGAGCGAATATCCCAACGACTTGCTATGCATACATGTGGCACTAGATTCTAAGATATAATATATATATATACATATAATATATATATATATATGTCTATATACATGTATATAATATACATTGCACATCATATTTTCACACTTGTGGACTCTTGTGGATTGTTGCATGATCGAGATTGAGGAGGAGTTTAACAAGTAAGTGGTTCGAGTTGAGGCTTTCAATTTATTGCGGCATTAACCACCACACCACCACTATAGCTATATGAATTTGTAGAAAGCGACAGATCGCTTAGCGTAGGTGTCATTGGAAGCCTTTGTCAGTGCAGAAGGGCCACCGACTCGGATAACGATGCGAAGACCACCGTTGCATGCCGCCCCTTGTTACTATGCCAGGTGCCGTAAAAACTTGGCACCAGTCGCACGGCGTGCGACTTGGGGAGTGCTGATTTGGGATCATTGCAGGAGTCGCCCGGCAGATGGGGTGGTGACGTTTTGGACACCAAGTCGCGGGTTCTTCGTCGTGCGCGTTGCAGACCGCCTGTCTTTCTCGGCTCGGAGTTCCAAACGGGTGGGAGAGATAGGTGCCATAGGTGCGGCTCGAGGAGAGTCTCATGGAAGCCTTTCCTCCATCGTGGTATGAGGACAGCTCAGACGTTCTGAGAGACATCATGAGACATCCAAGGAAGATGGGTGACCTCAAAAGATTCTTCAGCTTTCAGCTTGCGCACGACGCTATCAACACCATAAGGGGCCATGTCTCCTAGCACCATTTTAAATGTGCAGCCATACTTTTTAGAGCACCTGACAGACGAAATGCCACGTCGCACCTCGGTCACAACTGTGGAGGGGACACTGCTCGTGGTGCTCGTCACTTGACCTCGTTGTTGTGAAGCCAACTGGCAGGGTTGCACTTCGTGCGTAGCAGGTGCGGTAGATCGCAGTACTTGGTGAACCTTTGATTTGTGGCGGAGCGCTTTGTCGTCAGAGTCGAGATTTGCAACCGGAACCGCATCTTTTTGTGAACCTTTGTCACTGCATTCTCAACTGTTTGACTGTTTGCTCTTCTGTGTGTGTGTGTTACAGCCGTGTGCTCTCATGTTTGTGATCTCATATGTGTGTTTACGCTGCGTTTGTCCTCTCATGTTTACTTTGACGTATCCGTGTAGTATACTCCTCATGTGTTGCCTCGCGCGGGTGTGCCCGCATGTATGCGAGCGGGTCCGTGGGCTTATTTAACACCCGGCAAAGGCCGAACGCATGCAGCTGTGGTTTGTGGTTTGTGGGTGCGACTCAGTGCGTGAACAAACACCTCGGAGCTGTGTGTTTGAGGGCCTACACCTCCTGGGCTAGAAAAAGTATTGAACAACAAGGAAAACCCATTTTTGTTGAGCATCTTTCTGACTAGCACCTATCAACCAGCTGGGTCAGGAACTTGTGTCACACTTGATGTTTTGTAGAACATGACTAGTCTGGCTGCAGACAACAAGAAAGCAGAGTGTGGCGTTCGACTCTTCAGCGTTCCGACAACCCAGGACCCGAGACCAGGCACCAGAGCTTTGTCCAGTTCTTTGGCTGCGGACGAGGGGAGGGCCTAGCGCAGTGGGGAGCGCAGTGGGGAGCGCGGCTACCGGCTACCCCTTGGGCGTTTGGAATGAGGTGTCGGTGGCACCAGGCTTCCTGCCTGAGGTTGTGGGGTATTTTGGGTTGCTTGGAATTTGTGAATGTGAGCTGGTAGAAGTGGCTCGAGACACCTGAATATGGATCCCTGGCTAGAGGTTTGTTGTGTCATTTGCTTCGAACTGATCGAGTGATCCGGCGCAGGCCTCGCGAAGAAGAGTGACTGGAGGTCCAGCTTGGAGCTGCTGGTGTCGATGTGCCTTGGATCTTCGAAGCAATCGGGGTGGACGTTGCTGGTTCCGCCCCTGCGTGGTTTGTTGTTTTATTCCTTTTTAAGTGCTTTGTGCTAAGGAAGCGTGCCAAGCTTCAACCGGACCTCTTCCATCACAACACCGTCCTGTCCTCCTTGGAAGCGAACTGGCGCATGGCGATCAATGTCTTGGGACTGATGAAAAGGTGCGCAGAAACCCAGAAACCACGAAGGTGCCGAACACAAGACGGAGCCAACCTCCCGTGCTGTCCACTGGGTCGCACTTAGGTGTGAACCGAAGGAACCTGAAGGAATCTGATTGTTCATTTCAGCGTGCCCACTCTTGTACTCGAGGTTCACCAGCAAGTGTGTTGGTGGCCATTCTCGCGCAGGAAGTGCAAACCGCTGGGGTGCTACTGTTGTCAACCGTAGTAGTCGTAAACTGGACCTAGCATGCAGATGAGGGATGGTTTGGATTCCGTAGATTGACAAGTTGGCTGGTGTTGGTGGTCAGTGATCATGTTTTACAATTGCCGGTGGCACTGGGGTTTTCCCAGCCCCCATGAGATTTAATATGCAGGAGCAAGATTGCTTTGGCGCCTGGGCAGCACGAGGCGCACAAATGACACAGGAGTTCTGGCGGTGTATGTGAAATCATTTGACTAGACTACCTAGGAGGTCAACCTACCAAGAGAGGTTGAACAGCCTTATAGCCCATCCCATACGTACCACTATGGGGTCCTATGAGGTCTCTCAACCTCTCTTGGTACCCTTGTTCGGGGCTCCAGATTTTGACCCACCGCCAACCTGCCAATCTTGTTCTGCTTTGCCGACCTGGCAGTGGAGATGCCCCCAGATAAGAAACAAGAGCAAGAACGCGAATTTGTCAAATGGTGAGGCAGCTCCCGGAACTCATGGGGGACACCTATTTGATCCCAAAATGCAAGTTCTTTGCCCATATCTTCAATCTTCAACATACTGGCGATGAGTTCGGGGTACATCAGGGTCACATGCCCTTTTTCCCCGCCATTCATTCCCTCCAGCTCTAGTGATCAGACAGTGGTTCTTGGACCTGCCTATGACGAATGGTGGAAGAAGGTTCTTCTTTCCACTGTAAGGCTCTACCAACCAATCTAAGCACTAAGCACTAGTTGAAGGGTATTTTGTAGGTGCTAGGAAATGCTAGGAAAGCATGACTCAGCATGACCTTCAAAGTCCATGGGTTGCTTCCCCCCTGGCCAAAAGTCCGATGTAAGTCCGTCTACAATATCCCAGACCTTCACTCAGGACGTGTTCAGCTATAGCACCGCCATCAGCTGCTGTTCCAGTGTTTGGCCTATAGCCATGGGCCTGCTACGTGAGATGCAATGGAGACCCATGGTGGCAGTGTTTTCATCGGTCAAGGGAATGCTCCAAACATGACGATCTATAGACACTTCAGCAATCTTTAGGATTTTTATGTTTCAGAATGTGCTTTGGGCTTTAGAATGTGTTGAGGGGTTTTTAGACTGTGTTGACATGTGTTCAGAGACCCTTTAATCTATGGCACTGCTCTACCCATGGCACTATGTCAGGACCAGGAAATCGGACGAGCAGCTCAGGAGCCCTGGAAGCCAACACCGTGTCCTATAGCGCGGCCATCAGCGCGTGTGAAAAGCACCTTGGGTGAGCACTAGCCAAGTGAACGCAAGATTTGGGGCTACAAGACTGCTGGGACTGCTGCAGAGATTTTCATTTGCAAATCAGTCTTTGATGTCTCGTCTTTTTTATCCTTTTTGCGGTGGAGATAGCACCAGGTCCCTGCCAAGTGGATAAACTCAGTTGGTCAAAACTCTGCTCAGACCCACCATTCATCTCCTACTGCCGGAACAGCCATTTACTGCACAATTTTGGTGCAAGATGGTGTAAGCTACCAAGCCAAATGTGATTCAAGACATTCAAGGAATTCAAGGTATTCCGTATACATAAGTCGATTGTTAGTTGTTTACACGTTAAACTATATATACTTCTTTGCAGAAAGCAGAACCACACAACTCGGCCCGGCGGCCACGCCACCACATGTTCCACCGAAACTTGGGTAAATGCGCTTTCCCAGGCCATTTATCCTGGAACTCTTTTGGAATTCCTACACCCTGTGTTTTCTGTTGCCTGCTTAAAGCCACTCCGGAAGAAGGTGGGGCTGTTGGAAGCCAGCATTGGAACTCATGCACGAGATGAAGCTGGCCAAGGCAGGACGAAGGGGGGACCGGTGGATGGAGGATGATTTTTCAGTATACCTGTCCTGTTTTCTGCACCCATGACTCATGCCATCAAAACTGACCCTTCAGTTTAGATGATGAGCACCATCATCTAGTGCTTGACCACTAAATAAAAGATTCAAATTCTTCCAGAGGCAAATGATCGAAGCGTAAAGAACATCCACTCCATGTAAGATCATCCAATAGGTTCCTGCCGGAGGTCAATGAGTAAATGCTGGTGTCCCAGAGGATCCGAGCAAGATTCAATAGGGGTATACCTCTCATGTTGGATCAGGGGGATGAATTTCAACAGCCCTTCCATTCAAGCAAAGGCTGCTATTATTGTTTTTGTATTGGATCTCCCGTTGAAGTCTTTCATATGTGATTCTATTCCAACACGTTCTTTGCACCATTTGGTGCTCTTCTGCATCAAAGTGCTTTCTAGCAGCCTCCCGTGCAGCTGCCCATGAGATCGTGAGGTGCGCTGCAATGACTTCACGTACAACGCGGCCATCTCCGCCGCCGGGCGCGCGGCCCAGTGGCAAATCAGCCTGGCCTTGCTAGAAGAGATGACCAGCGCTGCGGTGCAGGTGCACCACGGTTCCTGGGGAGGGCATGTTGGAAGGCTGAGGGACGACGGTTCTAAGACGAAGAACACATATAAGCAGTTTATTATACATAATAATCTATAGGACATATAAACATATATATAATCATAGATATATATTAGCTATATATATATATATACACTGTATATACATAATCAGCTAAAGCCCAGGTGATTGTCAGTGCACTTGCAAATGCATTTTGATGTCATGTTGTGGGATGAACATGAAGGCCACGACACATTCCCACCTTGGATCTTGGGAATGCGAGCGAAAATTGCAACATGGAGTGAGCTTCTAGGTAGTCAGGTAGTCTAGGAAGTTGGGCACAAGATCGACCCAAACTTAAGAGGTCTTCAGGTCTGAAGGTCATATTGTGTATATAATATGCATTGGGGATCTATGCAGGGACACACTGTGTCCCGCAGGCCATCGACGCGCTTTTGCGCACCGTCCGATGACATGTGGTATATATCATTTGCCTAACGGGGTGATTCTGTCATTCTTGGGACCAATTGAATGTGGGAGCGTCTCAAAATCAGCTGTTCAGAACTGCCCCGCCCTGCAGTTCGATGCACATTTACGGCAACACATGTGAATCGACTGCCTCGGGTGTTCCATGCCCCCCCACCCATCGAGCTCTTCGATCGTGGTCTTGGAATGTTCGATGTGATGGACCCCCGGACGGGTCGCTTTCCTTCGCTTTCCTTAAAGCGGAACGAGTGCCCCACTGGTGCCCTGGGGAACTTGTAAGCCTCCAGCAAGGCCTCCAGCGAGACTTCAGCTTCAGTATTCATCACTGATGAGTCTCTCTTAGAAAAATGGATTTCAGAATGTATGATGTCAGCATGTCTTTTTTGCTGGTGGGGGATGTTATTCAATGTTCTTTATGCCCAAACGCTATGACATGCAATGCTTTCCACCAGGATCATACCACGACCAGGTCCTTGTAGGACAGACAACAATTAAGCAGTGGTTGCGATTTGCTGTTGCTTCGAACATTCGGCGGATAATTTGCCCAAAGGCTGACTGAGCTTTGTGAGTGAAGGGCCACAGCTCTTGTTTTGCAGATCTGGTAGTATTGGTGGGGTACGTGCAGTGGATCAAGCTTCAACTGCCCAAAGCCTGCGGCGAGGTGAACATCATTAATTCCCGCATTAATGGAAAGGCAACTTGTTTTTGTGCTTTTCACCTTTTTCTCATGGTTTGGTCGAGCGCTTGGAGGCTAGCCTGTTCTCTTACAGCGCTTGCACCTCTGCTTGCCAACGTTGCTGGGCACGCAAACGCGTGGAGCGCGGACGCTGGGCTCGTGTGGCGGCCATGAACGCTGGAGTTGAGGTCATTCAAAGCAGGGAACCTGAGCGAAACTAAAAGGACGGAAAGGTCTGAAGAACATTTATATACCAGCAGTCACAAAAGGGCATCGCTACTAGGAACAAGGACGCTACTAGGGGCTCCTGGCACCGCTACTAGGAGCAAAGGATGCTATTAGGGGCTCCTGGCCTTAGTAGGAACAAGGACGCTACTAGTTGCTATCCATGGAGGTTAGCATGGTTAGGGGTTCCCAAAACATCCACTCACTGGGAGGAGCCACACCACCCAACTTCATGTGACTGGTGCTTTAACCCAAACAATGGGTCTCTTCTCGGTGACGGCCTTGCTCCACGTTGCCCCATGTGGGTCGCACCGTCGTACCGATGGTCTCGAGGGTCGGAGCACTGGGAAGCGGCCTTAGCGCTGTTTGGGGGCATGGAGAACCTCCGGGCCAACCACGTGGTCTACAACGGCGTGCTGCGCCTCGTCACGGTCGGGGTGCTGCACAACAAGCGCCCAGAACCAGCCCGCACGCGCGGCGAGGTGAACATCATGAATTGATAGAACCCATACACGGCAAATGGGAGCTAGAACATATATGCCGCCCCAGTCCAAGACCCCCGACTTCAACCACCACCCCCCTGATGTCGACGTGTCCGTTCGCTCGGCGGAACCGACGTCACCGAGGTCACCCGGTGACCTCGGTGAGCGTAACGAGTGGCGTTAACAGGTCGCAATGCTTCGGCGTAGCGTGCGGTACGTGCTGGCGTACGTGCGGCCTGCATTGGTAGACACGGTCTGAGGGGCCGAGCCCGATAGATCGAAAAGTAGATCCCCACATTCAGAGTGTATTGGAGGTGCTGGTGCCACTATCTATGACTGGGGACCACTATATATATATAATATATACCTGGACCTTCAAGGGATGTCCTGTCTGGAGGTCCCTTAGTGTAGGGGCTTCCAGCCAGGTGACCCCTTAGTAGACGTTTTTGGGTGGGTGCACGTGTCATGTTTCGCTGAAGTCTCCAGCTTATCAAAGTATGGCCTTCACTGGAAGGTGCCTTCGTTGACACTCCTGGGAGAGAAGACTTGGAATGTTTGAGCTGTGAACTAAGTAACACCCCATGGACCTGTGGAAAGATTTATAGACTGCAGGGGAGGCATTTGTGCCATCCTAAAGACACCATTTAGAGTTTATAGGGCCTCCAACTGGTTGTTTAGGTGGTTTGTGGAGTATGCAACTGTTCCCTTACCTACAATGTGATCATTGCTGCACTTGCTACCATACTCACTCGTCGCGGGGTGCCGTGAGATCACTGCGACTCCCGATTGAAAAGTGATTCGTGCGACATCCCTGGGGCATGAAACTCGCAGCCGAACTGAGTAAGAGACACCTGGACTCTTCACAGACTCTTCTCGTAAGACTTAAGACTTAAGACTCTTCACGGAGTTGGATGATTTGGGGGTATCCATCCAACCTCTCCTCCAACCTCTCGTGCAAATCACACTCGAACATGCAACATACTCGGAAATCTAATGATAGAACCCATACACTCCATGGGACATGGAATATATCACGAAAGCTAGCGAAGCTAGCTGGAGTTACTCTTGCGATAGCAAGGTTTCTTTCGACCGGGTGCAAATCCTAACCCCTGATTTTTCAGGTCGAAGACCCCCCCCCCACCCCCCCC